TTTTCCTTTCTCTTTGGAGTGTTACAAGCTCTTGGTGCATAAAGAATGCATAACGCCGCCCAAATGTTCACGCAAAGAAAGAAGGCGTAACTTTTATTCTGGCTCATCGGTCTGAAAAGCGAGGTGTGCTCTGATTGGCCAGCTATCCAGTGTGTTGTGATTGGCCGAATACCTCAAGCGTGTGACATCGGTCTGAAAAGCGAGGTGCTGCCATGTCATGAAGACTCTGTGTGAAGCGGAGTCCAGCCCGGGGTCGTCGCATGTGGTTGCTGCAAGCCCGCCGGCCGCTCCTTCGTCGAATCCGCCGGCCACGCCGTTCTCAAGTCCGCCGGACTCCGCTCACTCTAGCCCGCAGTGTGTGATGCTGTGTGACGCATTTTATAGAGGACTGTTTTCTGAACCTGCTGAGTAGCATACAATGGGTCTGTTCACAAAGGCTGTTTCTATAAAGTGGGGCAGTTCCAACTTTGCAAGGACAGTCTGGCGCTTCTGACTCACAGCTTGTAAGTACATTTTTTATATTTAAAAATTATAATTTTATATTTGCCACTGACGATTCAAACGCGAGTTTTGAGCAGTGTAGAGTAGCACTTGTTGCTTGACAGTATGTGGAAAATAATGTGTTTTCTGAACCTTAAACCACATAAACACATTTCATTACACCAAATACACAACATAATGTTCTTTTTAGCAACGTCATATGACCCCTTTAAATACCTCATTCATTCATTCACGCTGTAAAAATAGCTTTTTTTGCTGAGATTTTTGCCTTATTTCAAGTACTTAAATCATGATGCATTTTCTGTATAAGAAAAAAATATATACAATATTTAGTCTTGTTTCCTGGGGTAAACAAGTAAAATTAATTGCCAGCGGAGTAAGAAAAATAATATTAATGAAAATGGAAACAAGATTATTTTTCTCACCGGACCACTTTCATTTTCATCATGCATTTTATTTTTTTGCCCGTGGGATACCATGAAAATGAATATTAGTTCAATAAATTACCTTTCTGCCAGTTTTCACCTGATAACACTGATTTAGAATTAAAGTTACGCATTCCGTAGTATGCGGAAGTCTTTTTGGCGGGAGCTGTTGCCGTGGTGAATCGTAATTTCGGAGCTCCTTTGATCATGGCTTTTCATAGTCGTGGTGCACGCGCTAAAATCAGAGTCAGCATACTCAGAGTGGATTGAACTAACTCAGTTCAGCTGTTCTGAAACCGAAAACTCAGAGTTTCCCATCTCAGAGTAAATCAACTCAGAGTTCAAGTTTTAACTCTGTTTGTTGAATCTCCTTTCTGGAATACACCCCAGGACTGGCGTTTGACAGATGTCATCGGTAATTATCAAACAGCAATAATGTTCAGAAAAAGAGAAAAATCCATCATTGCGCTTGTCTGGAAACTGCCAGATACTGAAAGCACTTTTTGTTTATAGCTCCCATATATATATATATATATATATATATATTTATTTTTTTTTACCATACAATTGTTTTGATTTATTATTAATTTAGAATTTATTAAAAATGTACTCATTTAAGTAATTTAATAAAAGTGCACAAATAAATGTAATATTCAATGTTGGCAAACTTATTAATTAATCATTTAAAAAAATGTTGATCAAGGATTTTTTTGGAACCGGATCATGGTTCCAAAGAAGGGGAATCAGATTGAATCCTGAGGTGCCTAAAGATTTCCAATCCTTTTGAGTGTACAGGAATTGTACACTCATTATTGAGGTGCATTATGGAATTGAATGTACTCAATAATATGGTTTACAGAGGGCCACTTCCTGCAGAATTTAGCTCCAACCTGATCTGACCTGATCCTTAAGTTTCTAGCAACCCAGAAGACCTTTATTAGCTATCTCAATTAGTGTTGAAGCTAAGGGGTATGTTTTATTTGTTTCACACTCGATAGAGCATTGACCTTTTATTGAAATACCATCTCCATGAATCTCTCTTTGTTGTGTAGGGAAGGGAGAAAGAAATGGAAGGAAAGCTATCAGCAGACAGTCATGTGTTTGAAGACAGAGAGCTGGAGAAACACATCACTCCTCAAACCCTGAAACCAAAGATCAAGCAGAACCCTCTCTTCTCTCATATCAACATCATTGACATAGAGGAGAACAAGTCCAAGCCATCCTGGACCATTCAGGACTATGACAGACACACTGCACATGGTCAGCTGGCTGACTACATGAAGGTATTGCATTAGCCCAAAGCGGGCAAAGACACACACACTGGATATTGCAATTTGAATAACATCACATTATGACAATGTTGTAACGATTGTCATAAAGCTGTTAAAAGCATGGAGTCCATTTGAATCACAGTCCTTAAGAAATTCAGCGTGCTGTAAGTTCCAATGTAAAAGCTTCCAACAGTGTATATACAATCCTAAGAAATTGATAATCCAATAAAAGTGAGATGCTGGATTGGTAAATCCTTAAAAACCGCTACAAGCAGAGATGGGCACAAATACATGACAACGTATTTTAAAAAAAAAAGCAAAATACCTCAGTTCAAACAGATCAAAATACAAAATTCTGTGTGGAAAACATGTATCAAAATACAAATACAGTTTTGAAAATACATGTAAAATTGGCCATTCAGTGAAGTATTATTATTAGACTGAAATTTATCAAGACTTACTGTGAATGCAAAAAAACATTTTACAACTGCTTAGAAATGTTTGTTTTCATTGTGCTTCAGTCAATGATGAGCCACAGACACTGATGTTCTGCTGATTTATTTAAAGACCTGTGTTGTGTAACTGTGTTGTTGATACAATGATGACCATCTGATCTGGATACAGACTGGATCTGGTGGCTACAGTGACCTCGGAATAAGAGAGAAACAGACTAATATTAGCGTAGATGCCATTCTTCTAACGATGTAGCAAGTACATCGGGTGTTATGGGAAGTGTTCCCGGTTCCGGTTGACCTAATTAATGCAGCTTAAAAATCCTTTAACGGATTTGAATATTAGAAATGTGTTAGTGTGTTATGTGTAAGCCAGGTTAAACAGATGTGTTAGGTAGATTGTTCCAGAGTTTGGGCGCTAAATAGGAAAAGGATCTGCCGCCCGCAGTTGATTTTGATATTCTAGGTATTATCAAATTGCCAGAGTTTTGAGAACGCAGTGGACGAGGACGACTAAAATGCAACAAGAGCTGGCTAAAAATCAGTGGTGACTATGTCAAGTTGATGTACATATGGCAGAAATGTACGGTAAAATTCAGTTAATGACGTAATCAAACAGATAATGAACACTATTAACAGCAATGATTATATGTTGCAATCAAACTTATAGCAAAATGTGGTAGTTCTGTATGTTGTTTCAGGGTTGGCATCATCTGAGGTCCTCTGAGGGGTTGGCATCATCTCTTCTCAGGTGTTCTGGATCCAGACTGAAGCTTGTGTAAATCCTAGTTACCACGGGATGTCAATCCCAGCAGAAACAGAGAAACAAATAGAGACATAATTAGCATAGCTGCTGTTCCAACCAAGCAAAATTGATTTGTTTAACCCAAACTAAAGAAGAATAATAATGTGCATTTGATCAAATATAACTGCAGTACAAGATTATGAGATGCATTATTTGAATGCTTGGCCAAAGAGATGTGTCTTTAATCTAGATTTAAACAGAGAGAGTGTCTGAACCCCGAACACATTATCAGGAAGGCTATTCCAAAGTTTGGGAGCCAAATGCGAAAAAGCTCTACCTCCTTTAGTGGACTTTGCTATCCTAGGTACTACCAAAAGTCCAGAGTTTTGCAACCTTAGGGAGCGTGATGGATTGTAGCGTGGTAGAAAACTAGTTAGGTA